CACAGGCGCAGAAAGATATAGTCCTTCTCAGCTCAACTTTGTGTTGAATTTGCTATTTTGCAGATGGAGAAATCTGAAAGGGATATTAGGGAATCAAAATTTGCAGAGCTGATGAATAAACACTTTGCTGCAAGTGCAATTCCTAAAGGCATTCACTGTCTTTCGCTGCGGTTGACTGATGAGTACTCCTCAAATGCTCATGCACGCAGACAGTTGCCGTCACCAGAGCTACTCCCTCTACTATCTGACAATTTATTGCATCACTTTGTAGTGTCCACTGATAACATCTTGGCTGCGTCAGTTGTTGTCAATTCTGCCCTGCAGTCATCTCTGAAGCCTGAAAAGATTGTTTTCCATGTTATCACTGATAAGAAAACATATGCTGGCATGCACTCATGGTTTGCTTTGAATCCTGTCACTCCTGCTCTTGTGGAGGTTAAAGGTGTTCATCAGTTTGATTGGTTGACAAGAGAAAATGTTCCAGTGCTTGAAGCAGTCGAGAGCCATCATGGTATTCGGAAATACTACCATGGAAATCATGTTACGGGTGCCAATCTCAGTGACACAACTCCGCGATCTTTTGCCTCCAAATTGCAGGCTCGAAGTCCAAAGTATATATCTTTGCTCAATCATCTTCGCATATATTTGCCAGAGGTACCTCTTTCTCATATCCTGTAAACTGTTTTCTGTTTCTCTTAAGTATGTTTTGCAGGGTGCAATTCCAGTGTCTATTCTACTTCCATTCCTCTCTCACAGGCACATGGACATTCTTGTATTCTATTGAAGTAATGCCTGGCGAGAAAAGTTTCCAATATATAAATAGGGTCAATCAGCAGGCTTAAGCATGTGAATGAGAAACTTTGGATAGCTTAAGGAACATGCACAAGGCCTGGTTTAGCGAATGTTCTTTGCATTATTGTTCTAAACCTAAAATAAGTTGATCAAATTTCTCATAATATGAAATTTAGCCAATTTTATATGACATTGAGACTTCTTGCTTAAAATGTTGTGTAGACATATTTATAAGCAGAGCCTAGAGGTTAAAGTGTTCCAATGCTTATGCAGATAGTATTTCTTCATTTTGCTAAAGCCTAAGAGTTTTTTTCCGCTCCAGAGATCATTTACTTTACACAAACATGCCCATAAAATGGAATAGCCAACTCTTCTTTGTGACTGTCCTGAACCACATTGGCCAGTCAAAGTTCCAATATCATCTTTCCATCCAAGACGAGACTCTAGCACCCCAGATTCTTATATAGTTCTCTAATTACTCTTTATGGAGAGTGAATCACAGTTTTAATCAGATTTTGCTTTTGTTATTATCTTCTTCTTGTTCTGATAATATTGAAAATGTCTTTGCCAATACTCCGAGTTTGGCATCCCCAAGCACTTCTTTCTTTTCAGTAAGAATTTTATGCGACAATACTTTTAGGTTTCCTTTCTTTACTCCCAACAATACTTGGAGCAACGGTAAAGTTATCTCCATGTGATCTACAGGCCACGGGTTCGAGTCGTGGAATCAGCCGCTGATGCTTGTATCAGGGTAGGCTGCCTGCCCCTTGGGGTAAGGCTCTTCCTCGGACCCTGTGTGATGCGGGATGCTTTGGCCTTTGTGCACTGGACTGCCTTTTTTTTGTTTGTAGTTTTCCCCTTTAGATCTTACATGTAATTCGCTCCCCAGTCCTGCATTTGTGTGGATATCCACTCACTTTTTGAAATAGCTACGTGAGATTTCTCTGGTGTTGTACTTTGCAGCTCTTCCCAAACCTTGACAAAGTGGTTTTCTTAGATGATGATGTTGTAATTCAGCGAGATTTATCTCCCTTGTGGGACATTGACCTTCATGGTAAGGTCAACGGAGCAGTTGAGACTTGTAAAGGTGAAGATAAGTGGGTGATGTCTAAGCGATTCAGAAATTACTTCAATTTTTCTCATCCTCTAATAGCAAAGCATTTGAACCCGGATGACTGTGCATGGGCTTATGGGATGAATATCTTCGATTTGCGTGCATGGAGAAAGAAGAACATTACGGATACTTATCATGCATGGCTTAAAGAGGTATGCAGATCTCTTATGCTTTGTGATTTAAAAGAAGAATCTTTAGTTATAAATAAATAAATAAATAAAAAAGAATCCTCGGTCATCTGAGTTCCAGCATCGATGTGATTAGATTTTTGATCTTGCTAGAGTGTTGTAATTCTTCTGCCAATCCTGTTTGTCTGCCTCTTAGTTGTCCACTTTGTAGCTCATATAGCTTTTTCTATTGACATGTTCGTCTAGGAGGACTGAGTTTCTCTTAAACTTCAGTATTTCTACTACTTAGTTTTATGTAATTTTGCTACTTTTATTTCCCGTTTTTGACATAAAAATATAGTGATTAAGGATTTGAAGTCATACATTTTTCAGGTCAAAGGGTCTTCATTTGCTAATGCTGTTCTAATTATTAAAGATTTGATCTCATCAAATATCTCTAGATTCTGAGTAGATATTGTTGAACTTTTAATCATTGTAGAATCTGAAGTCAAACTTGACAATGTGGAAGCTTGGAACGCTACCTCCTGCTTTGATTGCATTCAAGGGTCATGTTCACCCAATTGAACCCTCGTGGCACATGCTTGGCTTGGGCTATCAGAATAAGACCAATGTCAATAATGTGAAGAAGGCTGCCGTAATCCATTACAATGGCCAGGCTAAACCTTGGCTTGAGATAGGCTTCGAGCATCTCCGTCCTTTCTGGACCAAGTTCGTTAACAGCTCCAACGATTTTATCAGGAATTGCCACATATTGGAGTAGTCAATGGTTTCAAGGACAACACAGGAGAATTTTAAAAGCCACAGGCTTGCAAACTTTCTTGGTGCTAGGGAACTTCAATTCCAGGTGACAAGGAGATTCTGACACTTGGCTAATTGCCCGGATATATTCAGGTTTTCAGATTTGCTGCTTTGACTCCTACAAAAGAGAACCTGTATCTCTAGCATGGGCATGAGATACATTCTTTCAGTCTGTAAAATAGAAGTTGGTCGCCTAATAATATTGGTTGGACAAAGGACAATATTTTTTGGCCTCTTATCTGGGGTGTAGCCTACCCTTTATTATATTGTAGCTTAAGAGGCAATGACGGGGCGCCCAGGAAAATGCTCATTATTGCCATCAGTGATACAAGTTGGTGCATTGCAAGAAAAAAAGCTAGGCGCTGGCCCTGTTTAGAGGCTCCCGCATTGCCCCAATTTAGCCATAGAGATGATTCTTTTAACCTATATATTTCATTCCCTTGTTAGTTTTGTTGTTATTACTCCACGTTTCTACCGTTTCTTGATTCAATCATCTTGGTCATATTAGACTGTAGGCTATGGAAATTTGGTTCACATAGTTGGGAAACTCTCTTGGTTATTATTTTTGTACTTGTTTTGTATGATTCATGAATCATGATATACAATTGATATGTGCAGATTCTTTTTAAGAAAAGTTTTCCACTCTTACCTTTTTGCTTCTGTTAACGTGGGTTGGCAACTTGGCAAGGTTTGATATTTCAAGACATTTCATTTACATATATGTCCTCAAGGGAGTTGATTACTAGCAGGTAATAATCGAAATACAGATTGAGGATCACTATTTTAATTCCGTGAACTAATAGTGTGTAGCTTCATTAAACTTTACTGCTAGTATTATAATTATTTGCTCTATTATTGTATTATTTAACTTAAAAATATTCTGTTATTCATCATGTTTTTGTTCGTGAGAGGAATTGTAGGACCCGTCAACTCTACTCCAATAAGCAACGCGTTTTGTACACGGATGGAAGAATTCCACCTTCAGGTAGCCGGAGAAGGAGGGTAGGGGACACTACGTAGCCGCTTTCAGAATAATAGCCGAAAAATATATTATTTTTTGTGTATATATTTCGTATGTTATATTCAAAAATTATACAAATTTTATATACATTTTCGACTATCCAATATAAATAGTTACTAGCGCGGGCTAAAAGTGAAAAAAGCCCGTTTTTTAATAAATTCTTAAGGCGAGATTACCTCGTAAACAGTGATAAGGAAAGATTAGAAAATGAGGGGCATTATCCTAATCATCGGATATGGTTAATTAGTGAAACCAAAATTTGGGGGAAAAAGGTTTTAATGTACTTATTATGGGTTTGATAAGTAACAGTGAGAATCACTAGGTGGTCAAAGTAGAAATTGATAAATAAATCCTGCCGAGGAAAGTAAGGCCCCGTTTGGCCATAAGTTTTCCCAAAATAAATTTGGGATTTATTTTCAAAACTCATGTTTGACCATAAATTTTGCTCATATTTTGGCTAAATTCCAAATTTCAAATCCCAAAATCAGCTATTGGGCCAAAATTCTAAAACTTGGGAATTATATACATGTTTTTCCAAAATAAAGTTGGAAAATATATTTTGAAAGCGTATGTCCAAACACATTTTCATCTTCAAACCAAACTTCACCCAAATCAGATTTTTCAAAATAAATTTGGAATTTATGGCCAAACGCTAGCTAATATGCTCTAATCTCATATAGTGCATCGTGCCAGCCTTGTTTTTGTGTAGCCCTGTTTCGTAACTTTCAATATTAAATAAACTAAATTAGATAAGAATCCCTTTTAATCCACTCAAAGGATAAAAAGAAGCAATAAAGATTCCTATGTAAAGAAAGGTTTCAGAAAATAACCAATTTCGAGTTCAATAAAACAAATCTTTTATTTATTTTTAATCACATAAAGGGATACGAAAGCTATACGGGAGAAAATTAAGAATAAACTCACGCTAATTATTAAACGCTTACTTCAATAACAATAACAATAATAACAACAATTCAGTATATTCCTACAAAGAGGATATGTGGAGGGTAAGATGCCCTATTTTGGACTATTTCCGATTACACATATTAACTTACCTTTTATTAAAAACAAAAAGTGAGAATAATTGTACTAATAATAATAAAGAGAAAATAAAAAGGGGGAAAGTTCCAAGAAGAGAAGATGTCGATAATTCCATAGAGTGAGGAAGAGAAGGCGAAGGGAACAAAGAAGAGAGTTACTTCATTGACCGAAGATGTAGAGAGAGAGAAGAAGACTTTGAAAACTCCGAAACTGCCGATTTTTCTTCATCTTCTCCCTCTTCTTTTTCCCCCACCACTTTCCTTTTCTTTTTCTTCTTATTATTATTAATAAAAAAGTATTATTTTATTTTCTTATTTTAAATTCTTAATGCATTACACGTATTACCTACCCTTTCTTTTTCTTCTTACCTAGAATAGTTTTGTAGCTCTCTCTTGCCTTGAGAGGAAAATCATATGAAATTAATTTGTTGGTTAAAAAGAGGACAATTTCCAGATCAGTTTTTCCTATCAGTAAGTAACACCATGCATGAATTTTCTTCTTTTTTTCGTATTAAAGATCCATTCTTTTTTTTTGCAGAATTATAACTTTGATGATTACTTGACGATTCCAGTCTGTAGTTTGAGTAGATGTTTTAACTATTTTCTATTTTTAAATGCTTATTTGACTTTTGAGATGCCTAAATTTAGTGATTTATTGGTTAATTTTACCTTACAGTATTGATTATTGAATTTCTTTTGTTGGTTGTATAGCATGTTATTGTTTAAATTCTATTTTGACTCTGTTTTTTCTTCCTCTTAATAATCTAATCTAAGAAAGTTTTATAATTTGTTTAATTTTGCTTGCTTTTATGTATATATTGTCAATATTGACATCTGATAGTCTCTTATGAATTTATAATTTGTTTTTTTCTGAAGATTTAAGGCTGGGATTTGGAAGTTTGATGAGATCCATAGAGTGTCAAGAACCAAAGACTAAATTCTTTGGTCCTGTGAGCTCCTACAATTGTGTTAATTAAGGCTAAACAGCTTTTAGGAAGATTCCTTGTGTTGGGGTTTGTTTTGTAATTTGGAACAAGGATGTCTGCAGCTCAAGATCAACTGGAGATCAAGTTTAGATTGATTGATGGAACAGACATTGGTCCGAAGAGTTTTTCTGCGGCTACAAGCGTTGCGACTTTAAAGGAGAACATCCTTGCTCAGTGGCCTAAAGGTTAGTTTAGTCTTTCAATAGCTGTTAATTGTGTGCGAGTTTTTCATTTACTCAAGATTTCTGTTGGATGCTTGATTGCTCTGAGAACCTTAATCGTGGTTGTTAAGACTCCAAAATCACTTTGGAGTTTTCACCAAATTGATGTCAATTGCCTAGATTGGCATAGTCTATGATCTGTAGTTGTGACTTATGTTAGATATCCAGCTCTTTCGATAGTTCCTTTACTTATGCCTCTATAGAGAAATTTTGTTGGGACTCTGAATAAAAGAAATTTTTACATGTTTGTTTTTCAGATAGTTGAGGCGCTTTGCGGCGTCAATCAAACAGTGGCATACTTCCTCTTGAGATTGTTCTAGGCTTCTCTAAAGAGATAGTATTAGCTAAGAAAGTTGACATAGTAGTCTCTGATTGTTCAGATGACATGAACCTCTGGCTAATCAAGCCTTTCTAGTTCAAATAGTCTGAGCACGTTCATGTCTTTCATTTAAAACCTACATTTTCAAAGCACCAAGTTCCGATGGCAGTATGTTCATTCATATCGTTTAGAAGGATATATTACATTCACACTTTGCTAAGTACATCAAAGCCTTGACTGAACTTTAAGCTTTGCACAGTTCACCAGAGCAATTAGAGAGTAAATCCTGTTTCTCAGCTTTAGAGAGGACTTCAAAAGCATTAAGCTGCAATACAACAGCATACCCAGTGTAATCCAGCATAGTAGGGTCTAGGAGGGTAGTGTGTACGAAGACCTTACCCCTACCTAGTTGAGATAGAGAGGCTGTTTCCAATAGACACTCGGCTCAGGAAAGCATAAGCACAACAGTACTGAAAAGAAAAACAACAAGAAACAACAGCAATTAAGCTGCAATGCAATCTAAAAATGGCAAAGAAAAAGCTAGCAATTTAGAAATTGAGCAATTTTCTCAAATTGCATTTTATATTTTTAAGATTATAAGTTTCCTGGGTTCATTCTTGATTTTGAAGTCATGTTTCCCTGAAACGTGTATCGTATTTAACAGAGAAGGATAATGGTCCACGGACAGTAAAAGATGTCAAGTTAATCAGCGCTGGAAGAATACTGGAAAACAACAGAACAGTGGGTGACTGCAGAAGCCCATTATGTGATATTCCAGGAGGAGTTACGACCATGCATGTGGTTGTTCAACCACCAGCTCAGGAGAAAGGTCAGCTTAAAATCACTAAACATATTGATGACATATACATAAATGGAAACTGAAAGCTGTATTTACAATGAATTCCCTATAGTATGTTTGATTCATGTTCTTTCCTCTGTCTTTTGCCATTTTCCTTTCTAGGATATGTTCTCTTTTGTTGTCTCGCTGTTTCTGAACTAATGTTTGTGCTTGAATACCACTGGTGGAACAGAGAAAAAAGCATCGGATGACTTGAAGCAGAATAAGTGCCTCTGTGTTATACTATGATATGCAGTTCCAACAGAGGGATGGCTCTATGCAAGGTAGGTGCTATTTTTTTTGTTTTGTTTTTGTCATTGACAGATATCAAATTCTGTAAACTGACGTCTTGGGCCCTCTACTTTCAGATAAAGACTGGTGGCTGTTAATGATACTGAAATTGGTGATTAGTGACAAACATGAGTTGTTGGCATGACGTCCATTCTCAAGATCGTGTATGGTCTGGTCTCATTTTCTTTTGTATTTGCTGCTTTTTTAAAAGTGCTTTATGGGCGCAAAGTCCATTCTGCATTGATTGAAAATTTGTGTTGCTGTCAAGTATACCATTTCATCATATTTGTAGGACTCTGTTGTCTGTACAAAATACGAATTAACTCGTCGGATAAATTCATAATTTAATCTTGAATATCTTCTTACCTTGGTCGATGTAATATAGATATGAAAAGGATTTGGAATATATTGCATTTGAAATCCAAGGATTTCTCTACTCCAGAATCTGTATTCTCAGCAGTACACGACTGACTTTTGCTGCTTTTTTGTGTTTCTTTTTCAAAGGCTCTGACCTTCCATTTGTTTCTTTTGCTCTCAATTCGGCCACAACAATCAGCCAATTGGTGATTCGTCATATCCTCTCATCGCTGATCTGTATAATATGGATTATTCTTGGCCTTGATTTCAACTGATACGTTCAATGGTTAAGAAATATTAGTACTGTGGACAACAAAAGATCATAGATTGTTGGGGAGGGATCGTTGTCAAATTGGGCTAACTAGCAATTCTTGGGCACTATTTTAAAGCATCTGCTACAACTCAAAGATATTGTGTCATCAAATATGTGCACGTTTTATTTCACTAAGAGATAACATGTCTCTCTCCCAACCCCTTGAAACATGATCAGCTTATTGAGATATAAGGGGTCATTTGGTACAATGGTGGGATATCCTATGGGATCGGATATCCCAAGGGATTAGTTATTCCACCTTCTATGTGGGATAACTAATCCCATCGTTTGTGTAAAAGTTATCCCGGGATTAGTTAATACACCAACCTAAACATTGGATAAAGTTAATCTTACATTTTATTCCGGGATTATCATTCTTATCCCATGTACCAAACGAGAAGACATATTGAGTAGTGTCCTTACATATGCTTCTGGCACTGTTATGGTCCAGCAAATCTAGGACTTATAATAGCGAGTTCAGAATGAGTTTAATCTAACGTGTATATATATATATATATATATATATATATATATATATATATATATATATATATATATATATATTAGCATAAATTTTGGTTTTGACATATGTACTTATGGATCGAAGCTGAAAGCAATATTAGTGAATTTGTTGAACCTGCTCATGTTCTTGATCTGTCGCTGGTTATGGTTGTGTTTTTGAAGTCTAGAGTTGACTACTCTTCGTTCAGAAAATGAACCAAACTTTGGACTTACTACATTTTTGCTATGTATACGTACATCATCATGCAAGAATATTGCAATTTTGGACAGGTAAGAAAGGTCTAAACGAATAGAGTGTAGTTATAGTTAAAATTCGATTCGCAATTAAACTACTCCATTATTCTTGGAGTAACTACCCGATTATTCTTGGAATTTTTTGTTAACGTTTACTCATCCATTCGATAACTTCTTTCTTTATGAAATCAAAATTTGAAAAAGTTTTATTAATAAATCTCTAGAAATATCCTAAGTACATGTAGCTTCTCTCTTGTAAAAACTATACTAAATTATCATGATTAAGTTATGAACTAATATTTAATAATAACAATTGAATTTAAAGATACGTGTCATGTATTTATTAAGTTGGTGTAAACATTCATCCTTCCTCTTCCTCACAGAGCCGGTCTGAAGTTTTTCTTTTTCTCCACAGCCATTAACTTTAATTAGTTCCAATTTTACCCCATTTCTTAATAGAGTGTTTGGACTGGGGAGAATTCTTCTGAAAAAACTTTCTTTTTAAAAAAAGAACTTGTTGGGTTAGAGCTTTTTTACTTAGGATGGAGAATTGTCTTAAACTCTAGATCACAATAGCTGCTACACGGTTAATATTTCTTTCACAAAATAATTTCTCCAAGAAAAATCTTTTTTCAGAAATTATTTAAATCTTGTCTCAAAAGGAATGCCACGTTGTTTATTTCTTATAAAATTAGAAATTGGTACACTTTTTTCTTTTTTTCATAAATAAAAATGGGTAGACTAGAACAGTGTAGTTGAATGGAGAAGCTGGTGACAGGATCCTACATGTTCCCCGTGGGCCCCAGAGATTACCATCAAATGTGCCAGGTGTATGAACATAACTGACGCGCTTTCTCTCACGTTCCTGAACGCTCTAGCTTCAAAACTTCAGTCCTCTCCACATACTTCCCTTTTATAATTTTGTTGCTGGAACCTACGAGAACACTCCACATCGGCTCCCTACCGCGGCTCCACTTTATTATATTCTCACGCAAAGTCCCTCACTTTTTCCTTAATTACCATAAACTCCCCCTATCCACTGCAAACTTCTCGACTTCTCGTTACGTTGAGTGAATAAAATCACCGGTGCAACAGATTTTGTTTACCGGAATTGAACGATAATGTCAACAGTGACGTCAATTTCCGGCGTTCAACTTTGCGTTCCTTCTTCTTCCAATTCTTCAAGCCGATTAACTCTATTTTCTTCTCCGTCGGTGAACTTCTGTGGCAAATCTCGAGTTCTCAAGCAGTTTAATTCGTTGAAATTGAAGAGAAAAGATGTGCTCTTCACTAGAAAAACTGAGAAGCTGTCCAGAAGCTCCAGGTTTACCGTACGTTGTGATGCTTCGGGTGGAAAGGTAACCAACTTATTCCTGTACTTGTGCATTTTTACTTCTAGTTCTATTTTGAATTTTACCTCGATGATTAAAAACTACTAATTGTTTTATTACAAAGTAATGTCAAAGTGTGAAAAAAAAGTGGTACTTATGGTATGAGCTATATGTTTAGAGTTTTGAGCTAAATTTATGTGAAAGTGAGCAGTCTGCGTTTGCTCTTTTTTCTATCTGGGAGACTCTGCGTCTGTGTGTTGTGTGTTTGGGCCTCTTGGGATTGAAGAGTGAGAAACTTGTTTGGAAAATGTGTGCGACATACCCATATAGCCATATAGACCAATTCCCCCTAAAATGTCTTGGAATGAATGAGCCGTAAGCAAAGGATTCATATAGCAATACCAGTCAGTTGAGATTAAACTATGTAAGGCTATTTACAGAACCCTTAATTGAGACAGGCAATTATTTGATTTGGAATGGAATGGACCTAAATAAAGCGGAATGTTATGGAGGATTACATAGCTGACCTTGACTGATTTGAATTGAGGAGTAATTGATTGAGTATTATTCTGGACTCTATCGAATTAATTGGTTACGTAATGGCAGATTACTCAGCAAGAATTTACGGAAATGGCATGGCAAGCAATTGTTTCATCGCCAGAAATAGCAAAAGAGAACAAGCATCAAATAGTAGAGACTGAGCACTTGATGAAGGCACTGTTGGAGCAGAAGAATGGACTGGCTCGTCGTATATTCTCCAAGGCAGGTGTAGATAATACCCGGCTTTTAGAGGCTACCGACAGATTTATTCAACGCCAACCGAAGGTATGCTCTGAATCAACTCAATCTTCTGCTAATCATATGCCATGTAAAGTACTCCTGCTTAGAAATGTTTAATGTACAAGTATCATTAACAATTAGTCTTTTCAGAATTGAAGTGGAAATGTGTCGAATCTGTTGCGTTGCATCTTCTTCACTTGCCATCCATGTAGAGTTTAGCTCAGCGTATCGCTCTTACAAGCTGCCATTGTCATGTTAATAGTTGTCACTCTATCTTAAATAGACTGAGAACTTTCTAGTTCCTACATGCCCGTTTTCAAGCATGCTAGGTTTTTATGGTAAAAATTTTGTTAAGGTTTACTTTGCGCACATAAAATTCTTTCCCAACTCAATTCAGCATGGAGCACATTATTATTCTAATTAGTGTCAATTCTAAAGAGAATGGATTCAAGGGAGAAGTAAAGAAAGAATCAAATGAAGTTAGTGGAGGACGTCCCTTTTTTTGCCTTTTAATTATCATGCCCATATCACTCCCTAAATATTCTGAATGTGTCAGTGCCTACTTTTGGAGCTAACATGAATCGACAAGCTTGAGAAGAAAGCTTATATAATTGTTAGACTAGCTGAGTTGAGCTCTCTTTGTATCTCGATTGTGTAAAGAAATGAGCTTAGGAGACCTTACACTGGCTCATTTAAGAGACGAGCTTAGGAGAGCTTATAACCGAGAAATTCTCGAGGGCCATTAGCGCATGGTTAAAAAACCCTCTACCCTTCTCCACTTAAATACCATACTTCTTTCTGCTGCAGGGTCCGACTCTGTGACGTGCATCTAATCAATACATCACGCATTACTCTCTTACCACTAGACGAGAGCTCCGGGAGCCAAAAAAGAGCCCTCATTTTTTCTCCAACTTAATTGGTTCAGTGGAAAATGATTGTTTCCATTTAGCATGTGATTTAGCTGTGAGCTTAACTGGCTATAAATGAGTTTACAATCAGGCATGACATCAAGTACTTCCTATGTTCTATGTTATGTGGCATTTTTGTCAAAGAGGTTTTTCTTTGACCGTGATTTTCTTAAATACTTTGAATTGTTAACTATTGTGACTTAAGTTCGAACACCTAGAACCTCAATTCTACCTTTACATACCCAAACAAGTACAATTAGGACGCCGTTCGGCTTGGCTGTTTTACAGCTTTACCCATCTGACGGATCTAGAATAGATGGACATTTACTTCGTGATATGCAGTTAATATTTCGATTCTATGATAGCTCGGCCATCTGGCTTTTCATATCATTGGTCAAATATTGGAGGAAGTTCCAAACTTCCATTGATGCTGAATCATCCGAATTAAATCTTTTAAGATATTACTTCACGTCTTTTGAGATCTTTTCTAATAGAAGTAGAATAACAAGCTGAATCTTTCTTCTTGGCTAATGAAATCTTGCCAGGTTCTTGGTGAGTCAGCTGGTTCTATGTTAGGCCGGGATTTGGAAGCTCTGATACAGAGAGCCAGAGAGTTCAAGAAAGAGTACAATGATTCCTTTGTGTCAGTTGAGCATTTGGTGCTTGGCTTCGCACAAGATAAACGATTTGGGAAGCAATTGTTTGCTGATTTCCAGATTACCCAGAAGACGCTGAAAGATGCCATCCAATCCATAAGGGGACGCCAAAATGTTATTGATCAAGGTAATGAGATCATTCCATAATTAGCAGAGAACTTCAACTAATTGCGTATTCGAAACTTGTCAGTAATTGTAAGAGAAAATGTAGTTAACTCGGTCATGGACCATTATACTTGGATATTCTCCCTTTTATGTGATACAGGGAGCTGCTTCCTTGTGTAATCCTGAATGTTTATTCGAAGGTTTGACTGGGTTTTAGCTTCTTAGTTGACTACAATCCTAGTTTACCAGCACATTTCTATTCCCCACAATAAATCTCGTGTACACACTCTTGCAGATCCTGAGGGGAAGTATGAAGCACTAGAAAAATATGGAAAAGATCTAACTGCTATGGCAAGAGCAGGAAAGCTTGACCCAGTTATAGGCAGAGATGATGAGATTCGTAGATGCATACAAATTCTCTCCAGGAGAACAAAGAATAACCCAGTGTTAATTGGTGAGCCTGGAGTTGGGAAAACTGCAATCTCTGAAGGGTAAGTTTATACTTCATACTAAATACATAGAAGAGGGAATCTAAGTATCTGATTTAAAACTCCAATTTACATGGTCCGTTGGTCTCTATTTGCTATATCTTTCAAGAATACTGCAGCTATTGCTTATAACTTACGTTCTTCTCTTCCTGTTTGATAGGCTTGCACAGAGAATTGTGCAAGGAGATGTACCTCAAGCTTTAATGAATCGACGGGTTAGTGATCAAGAAATCTGCTTTTGTTTTCACCTGAATTCGTGAAAGAAAAATATCTTGATTTATTAACCTATCTGGTTCCTCTGTGCAGTTGATATCTCTTGATATGGGTGCGCTGATAGCTGGTGCAAAATATCGTGGCGAATTTGAAGACAGACTAAAGGCTGTGCTTAAGGAAGTAACAGACTCCGAAGGGCAGATCATCCTTTTCATTGATGAGATACATACTGTTGTTGGGGCAGGTATGTTCTCAGGAAACATCAGCTGATGAAAAAATGCTACTACATATGTTATGTGATTGGAAGTTAATATTTGTTGTCTTTCTCCTTCCCTTGAGTCCTTGTATTACTTTTTTCCGTTGTGGTAGTGGGAGCGTGAATGTCTCTCAGCCCATGTCGAATGGCCTATAGATCATGCTACATAATTGAGATCTTTCGTCCTGTATTTGGGGCTCATCCAAATCTAAACAAATATTTTTGGTTCGGCACATGAAAAACAATGTTATTTGGTTATTTCAGGTGCCACTAATGGTGCAATGGATGCTGGGAATCTCTTGAAACCGATGCTCGGTCGAGGAGAATTACGATGTATTGGTGCAACTACCTTGGATGAATACCGTAAATATATCGAGAAAGATCCTGCCCTGGAACGTCGTTTTCAGCAAGTTTATGTTGACCAGCCTACGGTTGAAAATACCATCTCTATACTTCGTGGACTGCGTGAAAGATATGAGCTGCATCATGGGGTCCGCATTTCAGACACTGCACTTGTTGATGCTGCAGTTCTCTCGGACCGTTATATTAGTGGACGCTTTCTACCTGACAAAGGTGAGAACTAGATCCGACTTCTGAGAAACTGCTATCTTTAGAGCTAGCTGTTATTCCCTTTTAATAGTATAACTACTTCATTATGGCATGGGACCTAGAAAATTGAAGCTCCATTAACTTTATTATGTAGTTTTGATTTCAAATATAGGAGAAAGAGATCGTCTTTGAGTTTGCATGGTTTAGCTTGCAATATGGGTTTTGGTCCTGCCTGTGGATTTTGAATCCTATTTCCTGTCTAACCAGTGATTATCACTTATTTCAAGAGTAAAAGCTAATGCCCTTATCAAATAAAAAATAAATAAAGCTATTACATCAATTAACGACATTTGAACATAGCCTCTTGAAAAAACTATAGCAACAGAAACAATTTGAGCAGCTTTATTTTCTTGAAGTTTGGTAATCATCTAAGTGTTCCTTGCTCAATAAGCATACACTAAATGCATGCAATTGACCTGCAAAAATGTGGTGTCCAATATGCTTGTGCTTCTTGGTCTTACTGTTGGTGCTAAAAATGCTGATGTTCTCAAAATGCAGCTATTGATCTAGTTGATGAAGCAGCTGCAAAACTGAAAATGGAGATTACCTCAAAACCTACAGCCCTTGATGAGATCAATCGTGCAGTTTTAAAGTTGGAGATGGAGAGGCTATCTCTAACTAATGATACAGATAAAGCATCAAAAGATCGGTTAAACCGCCTTGAGGCTGAATTGTCTCTTTTAAAGGAGAAACAAGCAGAGCTGACTGAGCAGTGGGAGCATGAAAAAACTGTCATGACTCGCATACAGTCGGTTAAGGAAGAGGTATGCAACTGAAGTCTCTTTATGTAACAAGTGCGTCTTTTACTTATCATGCTCTTGATCGGAAATGCACTCATATTCTGACCCATCAATTGAATTAGCTGTACGAGCAGTTTGTAAATGATTTAGATTCAGGGTGGTGCTTGATTAACCTTCTTGAAAACAGATTGACAGGGTAAATCTTGAGATCCAGCAAGCAGAGCGGGAATATGATCTTAACCGTGCTGCGGAACTGAAGTATGGGAGTCTAAACTCCTTGCAGCGTCAACTTGCTGCTGCAGAAAAAGAGCTAGATGAGTATATGAAGTCTGGAAAATCGATGCTGAGAGAAGAAGTTACTGGGAATGATATTGCGGAGATTGTCAGTAAGTGGACTGGAATTCCTGTTTCTAAGTTACAACAGTCAGAGCGGGAAAAGCTGCTGCATCTGGAGGAAGAGCTACACAAACGTGTTGTTGGTCAAGATCCAGCAGTGAGAGCAGTAGCAGAGGCAATTCAGCGCTCGCGTGCTGGACTTTCAGATCCTCATCGTCCTATTGCCAGCTTTATGTTCATGGGTCCCACTGGAGTTGGAAAGACGGAGCTAGCTAAGGCGCTTGCTAACTATTTGTTCAATACTGAAGAAGCACTTGTGCGCATTGATATGAGTGAATACATGGAGAAGCATGCAGTTTCAAGATTGATAGGAGCTCCACCTGGTTATGTCGGGTATGAGGAAGGAGGGCAGTTGACGGAGATTGTTCGCAGGAGACCATATGCGGTCATATTGTTTGATGAAATTGAAAAAGCCCATGCAGATGTATTTAATGTGTTCCTCCAAATTTTGGATGATGGTAGGGTGACTGACTCACAAGGACGCACTGTGAGTTTCACCAATACTGTTATCATCATGACATCGAATGTTGGTTCACAATATATCCTCAATACGGATGATGACGATGTGCCGAAGGAAACAACTTATCAAAATATAAAGCAAAGGGTGATGGAGGCTGCGCGTGCAGTATTCCGTCCTGAATTCATGAATCGGGTTGATGAATATATAGTATTCCAGCCTCTTGATCGCAACCAGATCAGTAGCATTGTGCGATTACAGGTAACCTACTCTTTAAAATCTTGAAATATGCTTGCTTTAGTTTGCACATACTTTCTTGGCTTGCCAATGCTGAAAAAAGATGATTGAATCTCATAGTAGAGTACATAATTGATGGTGTTCCTGAATCGTTGGATTGAATTGCGTGGGATATTAATGAGTCAAGTTTTTTGGGTTCTTGCAGCTTGAGAGAGTACAGCAAAGATTAGCTGATCGCAAAATGAAGATTCAAGTGAGCGATGCTGCTATTCAACTGCTTGGGAGTCTTGGTTATGATCCCAACTATGGAGCACGGCCAGTGAAGCGGGTGATCCAGCAGAATATTGAGAATGAATTGGCCAAAGGAATCTTAAGAGGAGATTTCAAGGATGAGGACACTGTTTTAATAGACACTGAGGTCACAGCATTCTCCAATGGACAACTTCCTCAGGAGAAGCTAGTGTTTAGAAGATCAGGATCTGGTTCAGATTCTCCAGCAGAGAACGAAGAAGCTTTCTCTCAGAAACTATGAGGCTGCGCATAAGAATCTTACACGTGGAGACTAGACGATGCACACTATGATCTGCTTTCTTGTATTATAGATTTTGGTTATAGGTCTTTCACGGCTGTGAATAGCTAATACATATACTTGAATAAATATGAGTTTTTGCCTTTTTATATAACATCTTAGCTTGATGAAATTTGAGGGCAGTTCACCCGTGCTTTGTGCAATCTTAGCTAAAGAGTGGAGGTTGACTTAAAAAGTGAGATAATAGGAGGTTTTATGTATTAATTTCAAGATGAATTAACAAATGAGGAAGTTCCTATGTGACTCTTATCTTTTAGGCATGTACATTGTACTGTAGCGAGTTAGCGATTGCGGTTCAGTTCTCAGTACCATCATAACATGCAGCTGCTTGCGCGTGCCATTTCTAATGGGAAAGATCGTAGCTAATCAGTTCGGGGAGCTGGGCATATAGCTTCAAAGGTTGTTTGGTCGGAGGGTTAAGGAGAAATAATAAAATATTTACTTGGAGGGATTAGGAAAAAATAGTAATTGCAACCTTTGATTGGTTATATATACAAAACAATCTTCGCATAATCTTATGCAGCCTTTGGTTGGCGATATTATATAATTTCCGCATTGAGTTATATGTATACCTTATGCAGGGTAGAACATGGCCATCCTATTTAACACGCTAAATCTTATTACCGATTATCATTCATACAATGCTTTGGTTATTACACCGTAACAGAAAGCTTTTCCTTGAAATGTTTCCTATAGATGCAAAATAGGCTTGAAGACAATGTGCTTCCGCGAAGCTTGTCAACATCAGAAGACCATCTTGTTCCTCCGTGTGCTTGAAAAGACAGCATACAACAAGGCTAATAATATTTATGGTTGTAGATTTCTGCATCTGAAAGCTTTCCAAGTGACTGTCCAAACGCACCCAGATCCCGTCCCCTTTCTGGTTAAGGTTGTCCAAACCCAAGTGTCATCATTATAATCAGCAAGACCAGCCGGAAACTCCCAGTGCCCTATCGACTGTAGACAAGCTGGGAGATGAAAGCAATAATAAGGACCATTTGCTCTACAGTGGTGAACATCTACCGAAGATTTTGGACAACTGCTTTCCAGATTCTAAGCTGCCTTGATGTGAAAATTTCCTAGTATTTCAATACGGTATGAGATAACTCAAATATCAACTGAATCATAATTAATGGGAACAGCATATCTTGAATAGCAAGGAGGAGGAAATCTTACCTTAACAACTTTTCATGTAGACAATTAAACAAAAGATTGGCAGTGGTTCTCCTCATCTTGAAGGGGAAAAATTAGTTCTGCCTAAAGATGCAAGCTGGTAAGTCGAGGAGAGTCCACCTTAACTCTACTTCACATGTACTCTGATATCGGTAGGCATAAAGGTGCAATGTCAACGCACACTAACATGACTGAAGTAAAATCTGTCAGTTGGCACTTCTGGAAAAGGAAATTTAGCAAGAACAATTTGTTTGCAGACGTAAGAAGAACCAATTCATTAGATCAGTAGCACCTCATTAGGTCTTGTTGCCCTTCTGCGCGGCTATGTCTATTTTTGTATCACCTCAGGTAGTAGCATCTGCTGCACCTCATTGACTCTATTTGCCTTCTGGCTAATCTTTATATGATAAGATCAGCAATATTATATCTTATTCATGTCAAAATTAATATTTTTGCACATTACGCCTTCTATTTCTCATGGAATGCTTTGGTAAGTTTTGCAGCATCATAGCCCGTGTCTTGCCATCGGGTTGAAGGCCTCGCTCACGCATTTCCATGTACAGCTTCTTAGCCAAATCAATTTTTCCTGTTAAAAACATCCCCTGAATAGCAGCATTGTAAAGTGATCCATTTGGTTCAGAAAGCTGCAAAATATTAAGTATAAGAGTTGAAGCAACTTAGTCCTGGATAATGATAGTCTGATAGTTGCTATGCTTCCTTCCTCTCTAATCACTTCCATCCAATGTCAAAGAATTTTTTTTTGACTTAAGGAATTGAACAGAGAAATAATTTGTCAAGTTAATAATCAACACCCCCTGTGATTTTTTCCCAATAGGTTTGAGTTTCTGATATTCCAAATTGCAGATTCCCGTACAAGTCATGATGCATCAGCAAGTTTACTCTCAAATAAAATCATACCCCAAAAAAGAAAAATCACAACAGTCATAGCATATACTGTGAGCCCCTAAACTTCATCTATTTGGAATATGACAGGGAAGTTAAAGAAGGGAACAGTTATGTTAGAAGAAGATGTAAATCATGATGCATCAGCAAGTTTACTCTTAAATAAATTCTTACCCCAAAAAAGAGAAAGAACAATCAAATCCATAATCGCCCTTCTCAAAACAAACTAAAAAACAATCAAATCAACAGTTGTAGCATATTCTCTGAGCCCAAAAACTTAATCTATATGCAATATGGAAGGGAATTTGAAGGGAGGAATAGTTATATCACAAGTAGATGCAATGAATGTCTGACTTACTTTTAGTATTTCCACTGCTTCATTCCAGAGAGAACCCCAGATGCAAACTCTCATCAACGACAATAGAGTAAATATGTCAGGAGAATGTTTTTGGCGAACCATGCGGTAATAAACTTGTAATGCAACCTTGGGCCTTCTCGCTACCTCACAAGCTCCAATTACTTGATTATAGGATGCAGTTGAAACGGGGATTTCGGAAGCCTCCATCTGCCACAGTATCTGTACAGCTTTGTCCCACAACCCAAGTCTGTGGCACGATGTCAAAATAGTATTGTATATATGCACATTCAAAATGACACTTTGAAGATTCCTGATTCTCTCAAAGAGCTGGAGTGCCTCTGAATATCGATTTGCCCTGTTTAAGGCATTGAGCAATGAATTCCATGTGTACGCATCAGGTGCATGACCTAGTGATTTCATCAACTCATAAACTTCAAAGGAAAGCTTGACTTTGCCAGCTTTTCCAAGTGAATTGATCACAGCGTTGCATGCTCTTTCATTTGGCTTCAGCTCGTTGTCCAACATATATTGTAAGACGTTCAATGCACAGTCATACTTACCCTCCCTACTGTATGCTCCAATAATAGCATGCATTGTATCACCTTCTGGGCTCAATCCATTTCGAATCATCTCACTGTATGCATCAATAGCTAATTCATTCTGACCACAACGAACAAACGTGCAAACTAGTAGACGGTAAGTGACTATTGTTCCAACTTGACCATTATCCGTCAAAATGTTCCAGATCTTTTGTGCCTGATACCAGCTGTTTGCTTTTGCAAAAATGGATATCATCGTGTTGTATACAACAATGTCAATTTTTTCTCTAAGATTCTTACTGCTTATCAATTCACTGAACATGTTCATTGCTGCGTCACAACCCCCAGCATCAGCAACTGCCTTCAGAATCAAGCTATACGTGTGGCCAGTTGTTAGCTCACTAGCCTTCATGGAGTTGAAGATCTTTAAAGCAATATCAAGCATTCCATTCCTCAAGAGACTTGAAAGAAGAGAATTACATGCATGTAAATCAGGTTTAAGACCTGAAAAAGTCATCGACTTGTATATCGCCAATGCACTTTTGGGTTTATTTTGCCTGCTGAGCTTCAAGATCCTTTTTGATAATACCTCCTCATTTGTCTCTTCTAAGTACATAATCCCATCCTCAACCGAATTTTTAGTTTCTTCAAGAAAACTTGAAGGTTGGTTCGTAGCAAGATTTCCAATATTTGAATTCGTCAAACAGTCCTTACGAGACAATTCCAGATTATATACATCATTGGTTGAATTTCCGTTTTGGACATCGGAACCCTCACTCTCTCCATCACTCACGGATTCAAGTTCATAAGGGACATTCAGAGCTATGCTGCACAGGTTATTCACTTCCTTGAAGCTAAATAAAACTGCTGGCAACTTTAGCTGTGCAAATCCAAACATAGTGCATTTTTCAGAAACATACACTAAATTAGAACCATTAAAACTAAAACACCCTTTCACTTTTCCAGTATAAAGAGCGAATATCTCACGTGGGTATCTTAATTTAGCCCTTCTTGAATAACAAAATCGATTGTTCCTCTCATTTCCATCTAAATAAACTGCCAAAGTAGGTAAGTTCTTTATCACATGTACCATAGTCGCTGCACAAGGTACAAGAAACTCATAAAACAAGAATTTCTCACCTAATTCAAGACTAGAGCAATAGAGCCACCACCTGAAGAAATTAAACAGAGTTTAAGCACAATACAAAATTAAAGTTTCAATCTTTATCATTCAGTTTAAGCAAATGAAATGGTTGATAATTGAAAGAGGAGAGTATGCATGTCATATTCGTTATCTGCAAGAACCACGCAACCTTAAAACTGTAACTTTTGGTTTTGCAAAGAGCTCAAAGAATTGAAATTTACCTGAAATTTAGAAGGTATAGTAGATATAGCTCGAGGGTAACTTGACTGCTTCAGCACACAAATGGAGAAACAGAGGAAAACTGACAGTTGGCCGAGCAAGTAAAACACTCGAACTGCTCTCTAGGATATTTGAGGAAAAACGGATAGAAGAGAATTTACAAAAATCTACAAGCATAATGGGCCTCAAATATTGGGTCTTAGATAAGATCCAAACCATTTCTGTCTGCGACGGCGAAGCCATTCTAAACGGGAAAATTTTAAAAATAGCCAAATTTACAACTGGTCATTCAAAAATAGCCCAATTTCAAAAGTAATCGAAATTTAGCCATTTTTTATGTAAAGATAAATATGAGCGAAAACACTGTTCAAAATCCGGAAAATACACCAGTATATTATGCTGGAGTTCCAGCATAAGTATACTTGAACTCTAGCATATTATACTGGAGTTCCAGGATAGTATGCTGGAACTCCAGCATAATATGATGGAGTTCCAGCATAAATACACTAGAACTCCAGCATAATATACTGGAGTTCCAGCAAGTATATTGGTCCAGTATAATATACTGGAGTTTGGAGCACCAGTGCTCCATTCTCCAGTATATTATACTGGAGCCAGCAAAGTACACCGGTCCAGCATAATATGCTGAAGTTCATACACAAGTGCATTGAACTCCAGTATATTATGCTGGACCGGTCTCTATTGCAGCAAAACGGTGGCTATTTTTCATTGACTTGGTAAACGCTGGCTATTTTTGATTGACCAGTCCGAAAACTGGCTATACCGTGAAATTTAAACATTCTAAACTGCTATTTAGAAATTAGCCAGTGCATTTTAGTTTTCGGACTAAAATATCCTGAAGTTATGATTTTTAGTTCAAAATTTCAGAATAAAATAAGAATGGCTAATTGTGCACCTACCCCAACTTTTGTTCACCACAGCTAAACCCCGGGTGATTTTCACATATATCCACTTTTATGTACTCAACCAAAAATAATTTACAAAATAGTCTCAATTTGAAAATAGCAGGTCTCTCTCCCTCTATGGGATATGATTCCCTTGCTACATCCGAAGCAACTTATATATACTCAATCATTCAATTATTTAAATGCACTTTCATTCTAAACTAGCTGAGATTAATCACGTGAATTAGCTGAGTCTATTGCATATTATTCAAATTTATTTCATTCCAACACCAAAAGTTGTCTTTTAAGTCAAACTTGAACTCTTTACTATTAGAGTATTCTCCAAATCTCGCATCTGTTCCTCTACAGTTATATACATCTTTAACCAAATTAAAACGCCAAGTGGCAAAGGCAAACATCTTTTTATCATAGAGGAAAAGTAGTTGTAAATTTGCAATGATAATTCGCCCCTTTTTCTCCTGATATCGTTGCTCTTCTTTGTACAACTATTTCCTAGCTAAAGGAATCAGACTAAGATAAAGGCAATCTCATCATTACAACCCAAGGGCACACGAAAAAATAACAATTCAATGGCCGTAAAAAGTCCGATTAGTGACGAAAAAGAAAGTCTAGAGGCAGTTGCAACATTTCTTACACTTAATTCTTTCCCCCAAGAAGGGGATGGCATAGATTCTACCTTCGCTAGAAAAACAGGTACATAGGCCGGGGACCGGGGAGAGAGGAGGGAGAGGGATTGTTCTTAAGCTGAAAGAATGGCAAGACTCGGCAGCACCAGAATAGCATTTAATTTTTCAAAATTTACATGGTGTAACTTAACTGCTTCACAACAAACATCAATGAAATGTTACAGATTCCAACGTGTCACTCAAATAAGATGCACATTTGAGATCATAAAATATACAAAGAAATTCTGATGGTGCTTTGTTACAACTGAGACACAATGGACAGGAATAGGTTTCTATTGGACTGCGCTTGTCAGAGAATTTTGGGAAGTGGCAAACTTGCGGAGAATGTCCACTGAAAGAGACCTTCCACTGAATGGCTCTACGACTTGATCTCTCAGTGAACAGCACCCACCAAGTTCCCAAATCGATGGAAACCCGTCTCTAACACCTGTGGATAAAGCAATATATCAATTGCAGGCAGTGATGCAGTAGAACAATCCAAGGACTTTTATCATCTTTTCCTATCTGATCCACAAAAATAAATCAGATAATGAGAAACATGATTCAATAGATAAAAGGTTAACAGCAGAACTCTCCGCCATGTTAAATTGGCAACATGCCAGTGCTAAAATAAAATTGCCAATATATTTATGTCAAGCATACATATGTAAATTTTGACAACGTAATACCTGCATTCATGCATCACTGTGATCTGAAGCTTCCTCAGAATCAGACAAGGGCAAGAGGGTACATATCCCAAGCACATGCCCGTTAAGGCACACATAATACTCAATTGCATCTTCATAAGCACCCAATCTACAGCTGGCACTAGCTGGCATCATTTTTGCTTGCAGCATGCTCCACAGTTTCGCCTTACAGTAAGGGCACACTTCTGTTGGATGGAGCTGAGCCTCCCTCTTAATCAACATTTTACGAACTTTTGAGGAAGCAAAGGATTTAAATATTCCTCGAAAAAATCCAATATCCCCCTCATCTCCTTGGTCAAGATGCTCGCAAGGATCAGAAACATACAAAACATCTGTCCTGCATTGTGGTAACAGAAAGCTCTTTCCAGAGGTCCTAGAGAACCTAGTTCTATAAACAAAGTGTCCTGGAATGTGGATGCTATTGAATAAGCCACCTTTATTACATCCAGAGCAGTAAATAAGAAGCTTTCCAAGAGCCCTCCAGTTCCCATCAACACTATGACTCCCACTAGACTGTAAATCAAGCATCATTTTGGGAGCTCTAGTCTTACAAAACTCCTTCCAGAGCACTCTCTTGGCAAGGTCATCAAACCATTTGCATACACAAGATAAAGTTGCAATTGACTTAGGATTCCAATTCAACTGCTGAAAAACCAGAAATATAATTTCTTCGCTAAGATGCCCTTTTGTACACTTACAACTTGCTGAGTGTATGCAGCGATACTGCTTAGTAATGATCATCGTCTACAACTGCAGCCACCACAATTGAAATGACAACAAAAGTTAGATCATATATTTCTAGTACTTTAACAAAGATGACATCAAATACCAAAGATACTTCAAATTGGCTGTAAAGAGTGTAAGATCAAGTACTGCTTAGTAGCATAAACAATGAAAATATGACTGTAGTCGACAACCCTATATATGAACCAATAATGCTAGTATGCTAAATATAAGATCAGAGGATTTCCAAAAGCCCCATTCAATAGCAAGTAATCTCTTTACTTATCACTTGATAGTTTTACTTTTACCACATCACCATTGATTGATTAAAGACCAGATTAGATTTCGTTAATGAAATCATTAGCCAATAATAGTTATCAAAATAACAATTTACATTGTTTTGCAGAACCATAAAGACCAGAGGTAACAGAAAAGAAGTATTCAAGATTTAGAATCATCGTCTCTTTGAACATAGGCCAAGATCCATGAGGTCAATATCGTAATTATACTGCTCTAGAACTTCGTGGTACACAACTAATGGCCCGTGACATGAGAGAAAACAAAGGATTCAAAACGAGAAAGTTTGGAAGAACCGAAACCTGTAAGCTGAGGATGAGTAAAGATAACGTAGCTTTTAAACAAGCTTGGAGATTTGGACTCCAGAGGGTAGAATTTAACGATGGCACCGGCTCACAACTTACAAGTGTTTGATTTCACGCCATTAAAGGATGAACTTACTGGTCCAGTGCCGCTCTAATGGTCTAGCTACTAAGGTTTGTGCCTTAGGCCCCCAAATTTGGAGGCCCCCTTTTTTAGAAATAATTGGTATATAGGTAAATAAAATAAAATGTATAATACTTTTAGTTACAAAGTAGATTTTTTTATATAAAAGGAAAAAAAGTTCTTTTAGATATGTAAATAATGTAACTGTTTGACTTACTTAAAAATGGGTAGTATGAATATTTTTCCAATGTGTGAATCGAAATTAATTTGACAAGGAAAACAGTACAAGTAGAAGATACTATATACTCAACCAAATAAAAAGGCTTGATTCTTTTCCAAATGTTTATATTGCTTTCAAAATAGTGTTAACAGTTCCTATAACAGTTGCCTCGGCGGAAACAACTTTTTAAATTTAAAATTGATAAAATCTTAGCAAAGATCAACGATGTCTCAAGAAAGATTAAATGGGTTGGCTATATTATCAAAAAAGAAATTATTGAACGAAATCGATTATAATTTTTTTTTAATAACTTTGCATCTCAAAAAGCTAGAACAGTAGACTTCAAAAAAATATATGTATTATAATATTTAAAAAAAAAAATAGGCCTTAAACTTTGGCTTTAGGCCTCACCTGTGCTTGAGCCGCCCTTGGACTGGTCACAGAAGCAGATGGGATATATTTATGGCTGGATGCCAGTTCCCTATATCTAGCTCCAAATAAACATAGGATCATAAATGTCTCCTAATATACAGTAGTATCAAATATGGAGGTGAACAATATGCTTCAGTTGGGAAAGCAGTCTGAAAACAGAGCATAGGGGTTCGGCTACTCTAAGCACAACAAGGAATTGTAGCTAGTAAGAAGGAATTGTAGCTAGTAAGAAGAGGCTACTTGTGGGTTATTTCTACGCTTCATGCTCATTTAGTATAACGTAATTATAGTGTTTGGTTGGTAATAAAAGTAGGTGATAAATGGTAATCGTACAACAAGTAGCATAGGCTATAAGGATAATGTACTGGGTTTTATTTCTTCGTATTAAAGGGTTGACTCTAAGTGCTGATTTAAACAAGTTGAAAGTAAGAGTATGGACATTTAAATGAACAAAGTTCTTATCCCCCTTTTGGTGGAGATAGATCCCTTCGAGAAAATATTTTTCATTGTTCAACATAACCAAATATTGGAAATTGACTTCGTAGAGGAAACCATTTTTTGCAGCACCAAGCACAACGCACTCATGCATCACGCAGTGCAAGCAAAAAACCCATTCTAGATTCTAGATATCACATCAGGCCTTTGTAAAGAAGGAATAAAGAGCAATGATTCATTTTCTATAATAAAAAACCATGGAAGTTAGCAAAAGTTTAAAATTATTAGAAATCATAATCCAACGTTTAAATAATTGGAAAGATTTAGTAAACAATTACACATTTACGACTTTCACTCCAACAAACTAATAGTGAAAATAGGATGTAAAAATTTATATTTTCCCCTATTTCGTGAGAAAGTTGGTCTTTTACACCAAAAGCCAGATCAGTACAAGCAACAAATGTGCATTTATCATCACATAAGAAGCAAATACAAAAACAAATCAGCTAGTGAAAATCACATAGAATTATAACAAATTGGAGCTGAGGTTTCATCATGCAGCTGAAGCAAACAAATCCCTATCAATCCAACTCACATTTCTTATTCAATATTTTAGCAATTAGGGTTTTTGTCTCACGAGTATCTAAGAGGGAAGGGGAAAGTCAGAGAAGAAGGGAACTTACAACTTGGAGTGGCCGGAGAAGAGATCGGAGAAGTTCGCCAGAGAGAAGCAAGTTATCGGCGGAGCGAGCGCGAATGGAGAGTGGTGTGTGGTGGTTCGTTCAATGGACTTAGAGAAAAAAATTGACTGAGCCGCTTCAGCTGACGCCTACCGTGGCGTCATTCGAAATTGTCCAGTTGAAACAAATCAAATGATAATTTGGGACCCGTTTTTGAACCCACTCCTTTAATGTCCATCAAAACGGCTAAGAAGATACTTGGGCTTGTCAACATCACGCGTAAGGCCCAATTTTCGATCGATACGATAACCCGATTGTCCTATCCACTCCCCGGGTCGCCCGCAAAGTCGTTTGTATTCAAGAGAGCATCTCAAAAAATATCTTCGGAAAATCTCGCTCTATACCCATTAAACTTAAATAATTTATCCTTTACTATCCAAGCTTAAAAGATTTACTTTTCCTATCTATACAACCTAAACTATTTACCCTCCTACCCAATCCCTTTTCAATTTCTCTAAACAAGCAGAGTCCCATACCCCAACATGCATTTTCCCTTTCAAAAAAAGTGAAAACACTCATAGCTTAGTCTTTTTAGTGGGCGATGAAAATCTTGTACAAACCCATGCATTTACCCTTTTTTTTTATAGAATTTTCTATATAAATTTTAAAAGATAATTTTTCAAATTATTGTACATGAGTTTCATTCCAAAATCCTCTTTCTATATTAGCATATTTATTTTGTGTATTTATTTGTATTTCTGAACCCATGTATTGTTGTAGTTATATATCTTAAGTTTCCCAAATCTGATTTTTGTGCATGTATGAAGACCCACCATTGTTGAGCTTGAAGCTCCTGAATTTGAAATTTATTTTGAAAATCTATTGTTTAATTCGATGTGGGTGCTATAAAATATTGCTTATAGTACCACAAGTAAGCTTCCCGGATATTATTTTATGTATATTTGAATATCTACCATTGTTGGGCTTGAAGCTCTTGAATTTAACTTTTTAATTTTAAAGATTTTTTTTTTGGTTCAAAGTGGGTGTTATTAAATATTGCTTATAATACCTTATGGAAGTTCATACTGAAATTTGATCGCATTTGGAGCTGATTTGAGGTGATTGAGATTGAATTTTTCTGCTGAAAATCGAAGAAGATAGTTACCTTACAGTATACCGCTGCGGTATACAATATGTTGTTGGAGTATATAGCTATACTGCAACAGTATACTGCAACTGTATATTGCAATAATCGAAGAAGAACATAGTTACCTAACAGAATACCGCTATGGTATACAATATATTACAGGAGTATATAACTATACTGGAATAACATACTGTTATAGTATACAATATACTGTAACGATATAATGTAATAATATGTAGTATACTGTAATAGTATGACGTAATAGTATACAATATACCATAATAGTACTTTGACTGCTATTTGTTGAATCATCTACGAGATTTTGTGCAAAGCTAAAGGTATGGTTATAGTAGCATTATATTGTCATAGTATAAAATATAATATAACAGTATACCGTAATAAATAAGTCATGTTTTAATTTTTTAAAATTTTTCCAACTAGGTCCTTGCAAATATTTTCTTAAATGAATTATTTATGGAGTTCCATAAAAATAGTATTAATTGTATATGAAGTAGTTGTCGTAAGACAGAAAAAATTGTAATATGGAAAAAAAAGTTCAATAAAATTAGAAAAGGAACGCGAAATTAAAATAATAAACAAAAAAGAAAGAAAAATAAAATAAAACGAGCCAAATTGAGTATAAAACCAGATTATTGAATAAAGAAAATAAAGAATAATATGATTCCGGAAAAAAATATATGAACAAAAAAAAAGAGAAAAAAAAGGAGAAAAGAACGAAAAGAAAAAAAAAAGCAGAGAAACAAAAAAGAAAATGAGAAAAAAGAAGAAGAAACAATTACCCACAAAAGATGCAATGGGTAGGAAGGGTAATTAGTTTGGTGGGTAGAAAAACTAATGGGTGGGTAAGGGTAATTAGTTTAGTTTTTGTGGGTAAAGCTATAAAACTCCCCATTATGAAGGCAATATAAAAAGGGGTATTATCAGTTTTAGCCAGCGCCAGAAACTATTTACATCAGGTAGCCGAAAAAGTATATAAAATTTGTATAATTTTTTTATATATCATATAAAATGTATATATATACAAAAAATATACATTTTTTGGGCTATTATTTTTGCAGCGGCTATGCAGTGTCATTTTATCATGTAAAAAATGTCCAATCAAACTATGTGGATCTGAGTTTACTCATGTCACCAGTTAAAAAAGTGGCCTCAGTTACTAAAATGTTCTTTTTTGAGAATTGAGTTTAATTGCGATTTAATTCGGCTTTCAACGACAACAAGATTATTTGGAGCAATAATAAAAGGCGAAATCAGGATTAGAACTTTATGTGTTGTGAATTCTCGGTTAATAATATTAAGTGTAACAAAAATACAGAATTTGAACCAAAGTTATTTACTGAATCCTTATGTTAAAGGCCTAGCTCTGCTCCTGGCACCATCTCCTGAGAGCAGCTCCAAAAGTGGTCGGAGAGAGCGTGTTTGCTTACCCTTTATTTGTAGTAAATCCACTTAGAGTCTCTTTGGCCAAGCTTCTAGGAGGCCCCAAGTATTTTTTTTTGGTTAAAAAAGCACTTTTTGAAAATTTAAGGTGTTTGGCCAAAAAATTCTAGCTTCTTCCAAGAAGCAGAAGCAGAAGCAGAAGCAGAAAGTTAATTTATTCAAGACAAAAATAACCTTACAATAAATTTATATTTTTCAAATTATCCCTCATTAATTTAAATTTTCTTTTCCTTTTTTTATTTTTATTTTATTTCTGCTATACATTTATTCTCTTTTTTATTTTAATTACATTTTTATTCTTTCTCCTATTCCTAAGAGTAGATTATAAGTTTATATTGAATGATGTATTTTAACATATTTAAATTATCATGTAAATAATAAGTAATACTAAACACTCAATATTATTATTTTGGAATAACTATATTATATTAATGAGAATTTTTAATTTATATTTTTACTTTACATTTTACATTTTAATGGAATTCTTTTCTAAAATATGTTTCTTTTTAAATTTATTTTTCTTTTCTAAATAATACTAATCACAAATTGAACCTTTACTGTTCTTTTTCGTAATTTGATACTTAAAAGTGCTTTTTTAAAAGATTGGCCAAACACAATGAGCTTGCAAAAAGCACTACTCAAACGAATTGGCCAAATACAAACTACTTATTTTGCAAAAGTACTTTTTCATAAAGCACTTTTGAATAAAAGCGCTTTTCAAAATAAGTAGTTTTTGGCATCTTAGCCAAACGGGCTCTTAGTCTTGTTTTCATCTGGGATTTCTCTAAAGTAGGGGAATTCCAAATAAGTTAATTATCATATTTCTTCTTTAATTAGAAAATCATACGGATTTAAGCACATAATACCAAAAAAAAAATAAAAAAAATAAAGTATCTTCGCAGCAGAAAATTTTAACATTTCACTTAACCTTATGGTCTAGTAGTATTTGATTTCTTTCACACAATTTAAACATAAAGACTTAAATATAGAGTCAGACATTAACTACTTAAGAACTTCAAAGATAAAACGAAACTGGAAATACTAAAGAGCACACTTGGTGCATCTAGGTTTGCTCCTAGTATATTTCTTGTAGTCTTTTGTATCCTTGGAAATTAAAACCGTTTCTCCTCTGACTTCAATTGGTTGCTGCTAATATGCGTTTCAGCGTTTGCTTTAAACACTCGTGCAGCAGTTGGACGATTTCTAGAAAGAGATATTAGCAGAATGACAACAGCTTCGTCAGCCCTTGGATGAAATGTCAAACTGGTGTATTTGGCTCGAAGTTAAGTTTGATAGTCCAACAGGGAGGTCGCAGAAATGGAGTACAAATACCTGAATTTCTCAAACTGAAGTATGATAGCAACTCTTTGCCACTTGCTAATAACAAACCACTTGCTGGTAGATCCATTGCCATGTTTGAATAATTTTAAGTTTGAGACAATATACCACTTCATCAGAATAGCATTCTATCTAATTCTAGCAACATTTTAACCAATTCAGTGTTAGTTTTGTATTCATGAAATCCAGTCATTTCTATATAACCATGTGCCTTCTAGAGGATTCAAGCATAAATACTGATGTGAAAAGGAGAAATGACAAGATGAAAAACAGTAAAATTTGTAGTCGCTAGACGATGCCTTCCAAAACGGCAACAGTATACAAGCACAATATCAAACTATCACCACAGCCAAAACTCTTTTTGTATAGTATTTTCACATGCTCTGTCTTCTTCATGCACTAATTCTGACAGAAACTATGAACAAATCCCACGTAAAATAAGTCCAACAGCAATATATGTTCAATGAGCAGCCAGCCAACATTGGAATATAGTATACCCAAACACCCGCAGATTTAAGAGAACTATCTCTACCTCCGTAAGCGCAAAAGAAATCATAATCTTGCATGATTATATCTCCCAAATCAAAGTAGATGCATCCAGAAGAAGTTGAATTTATTCAATCATGAGAACAGAACCAGCAACCCACCAAGAAATCGTTAAGAAGAAGAGTCAGAATAAGAAACAGGAGAAACTCACTCAAACCAGGTCAGAAAAGCTCTATCATCCACTATATTTGCAATTGCTCCTATGTGTTATAAAATTCTGTTTTGTTAAAATCAAGATACTGTGACTGTATTAGGTTTATCTTGGCGGGAAATTACCGTCTCAAATGCTCCCACCAAAGCTTTAACCTTGCTCTTCCTGGTTTCAACAAGCTTACTCGCCGTCTCTTCAATCACATTATTCAACAAACCCTGCACATCTTTTTTTTCCTGCACATCCTGATGCCTCAAAACAATTTTTCCAGAGCTAAGGATGGTATTATTTTTGTCAGCATCAACTCCTTTCTTTTTTAAGACTCTCCTTATATCACCCTTGCTGTCCTGGCTTTCCCCCATATGTCGTCCCCATCTAAATATCAGCCTCCTAGGGGTGCTGGTTTCTTGCTGGAGATCGACTACCTTACCCCTCCTGAATTTCAGTTTCACCGCCGAAGGATTGGGATCATTAGAAACACCTGCTTTGCCTTTTCTTAATATCTTTTTCTGATTTTTCCCGACAGTTTCTGCTTCTGCTATGTTTAGCAGCTTTTTCCTGC